TCAAAAAGTATTTGTTTACCCAGACAGTATTTTTTTTCCTCTCCAAATGTCCCGAAAATCTAATTAGGATAAATCATAAGTACAAGGGGGCAGATCTGGGACAGGAATGAATGGCAGAGCTGAACTTGAACCTCCAGGTCACAGCTGTGAAGCATACACTAAGCAGGAATAAGAATTTCCTGTGCTGCTTATGTGTGTCAGGGAGAAACTATGGCAGGGTAGGGGAGTGAGGGGCAGGGTAGGGGAGTGAGGGGCAGGGTAGGGGAGTGAGAGGCAGGGTAGGAGAGTGAGGGGCAGGGTAGGGGAGTGAGAGGCAGGGTAGAAGAGTGAGGGGCAGGGTAGGGGAGTGAGAGGCAGGGTAGGAGAATGAGGGGCAGGGTAGGGGAGTGAGGGCAAGGTAGGGGAATGAGGGGCAGGGTAGGAGAATGAGGGGCAGGGTAGGGGAGTGAAAGGCAGGGTAGGAGAGTGAGGGGCAGGGTAGGGGAGTGAGGGCAGGGTAGGAGAGTGAGGGTGCAGGGTAGGAGAGTGAGGGGGCAGGGTAGGAGAGTGAGGGGGCAAGTTAGGGGAGTGAGGGGCAGGGTAGGGGAGTGAGGGGGCAGGGTAGAAGAGTGAGGGGCAGGGTAGAGGAGTGAGGGAACAGGAAGGGTAGCTTAGCAGGTAGGCATTGCTGTTATACAGGGTACTTAGGTAGCACAGGGACTTGAGTTTTGGAAGTCACTGCAGTAGAGTTGACATTGAATGCATGCGTGGAAGTAAAAAAGCAGAGACAAAGACTCAACTCTGAACACTTCTGAGTTTAGAGCTCAGGGTTTTAAAAGTATGTTTTGCTGTTATTCAGGCATGGACAACCTGAATGATCAGAGGCCTGAAGATTTGAAAAACGATGCTATGAAATGACAATTTGTTACAATTCCCAGGAGGAGGAGACATGTCACACCAAGGAGCTACAAGAGGCGGCTCCACAATCAGCAAGGCAGAGGACACAGACAAGAACCTTTTTCCGTGTTCCCACAGGCAGTAACAGTGAGCCAAGATTAAACAGGCTGAAGGATGGCTAGTCAAATAGCTTTACCTGACTCTGGGGAACAGGGTTATCCCCATTTGTCTGGTACCCTAGGCCTGCTGTCCTCAGGGCAGGTGGAAAGCCCAAGCCCAAAAGAGGAGACTGGACTGCAGAGTTTGCATTGATTGGTCCACATATGAAAAGGTCTTGGACAGGCAAATTCTTTACTAGCCCCTTGAACTGACTGGTCTTTAGAAGGGCATCTCCTCAGTGTCAAGCAAGGCCCCGAACTGCACAGCCCTTGGAACACAAAGCCCATACAGCTAGAGAAGAAACATACACAGTGTAGCCAGTAAGATGGCAGAGCCAATGGATGCTGTACCAGGAAGTGTGTGCAAAAGGCTGTTTTCAAAACAACAGGAGACACAGGGTCAAAGATGCTGACCTGTCCAGGTTCACCAGGACTGAAACTCAACCGCTCTATTTGGCAACATAGTAAGTAGGCTTGCAATCATCACAAGAAAGTTTTAAGTGGAGAAAGCCTCCTCTCAGACAGGAAAGACTTCATCTCCTCAAAGTGGTCCCATGCTAGCTACCCACCATATCCCATAGGGCATCCTGTGGAAGAACAGGGAAAGAAACAGACACCAAATTTGAATAACTTTACTGAATTAGACCAAAGGTAAAAACTCCCCAGCTATCCGATAGGATGTGGATATGTTCATGTGGATAACAGACACCAGGTCCCTTAGCAAAAAACAAAAAAAAAAACACAAAACACTACATTTTCTTTTCATACCTTCTGTATCCTGAGCTGAGCATTAGAAATCCTCAACAAGTCTTTTAGTGGCATAAATGTTACCTGCCTCTAATTGGAAGGCTATGGTTTTATGTATTGAAAGGTCAACAGACTGGAGCCTAGCCTCTTCACCCTTGTGAGCCAAGAGGTGACATACTGCAGCTGAGCTGGGCTTGGCTTTGAAAAAAATCGACTCTCAATCAGGTTCTTATCAGGAAAATCCATCGTACAAGTCCTGATGGATTCCTAGGCTATCTTTCTTGTTACTGTTAATTTCTCAAATTTCATTCACTCTCACTCTCCTCTCATCCATAGTTTAAAAAGAAAAAAAAAGTGTCAGGAAGAAGTTCATTCCGGATAACTTAATTTGGTTAATTTGGGCTTTTGTCTGAATTAGGTCTCTTTCCCTGAGACTATAAACCTTGACAACTAACTCAATCCTTTCAAATTATCTCTTTTGGGGGGAGTAAAAACTATTTCATAGAGAGTCAGACATTTGTTTCCTCAAACGAGGCAGCAAGCTCACACGGTGCCATCTCTCTTCCTGCTGTGGACATTGTGGACGACATTTTTTTAAAATTATAAAATCCCCTCTATTATTTTTTCCTCTTTAAAAATACATTTGTACAGAACAGATTTGTGTTTATACAGGGACATTAAGTGGTTCTCTGGGATCATTTTAAAGTCATTTAGAAAGGACGGCAAATTAGGGGACCTAATGTGGAATTGCGTAGGTAGAGCTTAACAGCTTTCAAATACCAAAAAGGTTATTAAAAGCACCACAGGGTGGAGTTTTTAGCTCATAAATGGAAAACAAGAATCAAAAAGACTTCAGAGGGCATTTCAGTTAGAAGTCATAAGAGTGAAAGAACATAAAGCTAAGAGAGTCGCAGAAGAATGGATTTTCCTTTTAAAATTACCAACAGTAATAGCCGTGATTTACCAGTCGCAAGTCTAAGACAGGCCAAGGACATCAGGGACACTTCATAGAAAAGGTAGGATGTGGGCTCCCCCTGGAGGGTTGGGCAGAACTTAACAGGGGGGAAAAAGGCAAAACAGGAAGCAGAGCAACGCTCTAGCAAGGAGGATAAGCAGTGTGGGCTAAAGACGGAAACAACAACAGAGATTTCCAGGTCAAAGTCAGAGTTATGATGAGACTATGAGCAGGAACCAGGGGAGGCTGTGCAACTCAAGTGAAAAAGGACAATGTCTCTGAGCATACTTTCTCTGACCATTCTTTATTCCAAGTGGGATAGTGCAAAGGCAATAATCTAAGAACATGCTACTGCTGCACAGAAGTTGGCTCATACCTCTAACACAGGACAGATATATATCTTCTCTCTCCAGAAGAAAATTGTGGTTTAGTAACTTTATTCTTTTATGCATGGTACTTATTATAGGAATAATAATACAGGTCCTGGGGTCTCCAGTAACTATTTGTACCAGTAAGTGACTGTGACCAAAAACTCCTCATGCCAAATGGAAGGAACTTACTATTGAATGTGACATTCTACAGTCCGTTCTCACCCCCGGGACCTGCCATTTGTATCCATAGTAATCAATGACAGAAGATTGGATGCCATCTGGAATTGATATTAAGGCTTGAATCTTTAAAATAACTGGCACTTTTTAAAAATTAGAGCAGGTTCAGGAGTTACTGAACACAAGGCTATCTCAACCACCAGCATTCTAACTTGCTATCTAGGGGAGGAGTGGGAGATCAAACTATGACTACCTACCTACAAGATTATTCACTACCCTCCTGCCTCCCTCCTTAATATGAGCATACCCAGGGATTTCTACACCTCTACTATGTGTAAAAGACGGGAAATGGTAGAAGAACACTATCAGAGAATAGCAGTCCTTCGGGGTTAATGTCAGTCACTATGGCTGTGCCTGATTAAAAAGCTATGTCACTCCTTCTTAGAGAGCTCCTTGGAATTTGGTAACATGTACCTTGACCTCTCTTAGATACATTTGACCACTACAAAGAACATATTAAATAAAGGGGACTCTGTGTCACCATAATTCAGTGCCATTGGAATCTACACTACTGCACGGCCCTCTGCCAATGGCGGTGAGAACAAACCCATACTCAGAGTCCTCTAACACCTCCAGAACGTGTGCTTATGACTCTCAGAAGGGGATGCTGGGATTATCCCCTAACTTCTGAGAACAAATCACAGCAGGTGTAAAAAGCTGAGGTAATAAAGCCAGACCAATGTAAATGCAACCCTTGGTCAGGTCACTTGACTTCTGTCCCTCGGTTTCCTCACTTATAGAATGGAAATTAGCAGTAGCTGTCTTAAAGAATCTTTCTGAGGTGAGACAAAAGCTGTAAGGCATTCTTTTATTGCAATGCCTGACATGAAATGTACGCTCGACATCCAACCTTCCTATCAGAAATGCACCATTAGTATAAAATTTTCCTTTACAAAAACACTAAATTAACTATTCAACAGTGTCACTTTTAGCTAATAAGAGAAAGTTACACTTGCTATGGTCAGAGGAGTGCATCTCCTGGAAGCGACAGTCTCTACCTGAGAAGTAAGGGCGATTCACTTGTCTTAAGAGTCAACAGTATGGGGCAGCATTCTGACACCTGAAGAACTCTATCTATAAGTGATTCAGCTGACATTTCAATCTGCAATTCCTTTCTGAAATAAGCTCTTCACTATTGCCAAGGATAAACAAGGCATGTCATAATCCCCATACCATGACTCAAGGAAGCCTCTGCTAATTAATTTTAACCATCCAGTGATTCACTCTCTTCAGGTGATAATGATTCACATGTTCTGATTTGCCAAACATGGCTTCAAGATTATTTTCAGAAATGTCTGTTGAGCTCCTTCTTAGCACAGTCACGACTTGGACAGTGCATAAGATGTGAGTTATTATTTCATTCCAACTCCAGCCCCATCATATGTTTATACCTAATTTAGATTATCTACTCATTTAGCAGTGAATTAGAGACATCGTGGTGCAACTGGTAGAATAAGCATGCCTAGGATCGGAATAGCAATGGAGCCATGTAGGAACCAGAATGAATCTTCAGTAGTGTGTCTGAACCTCTCTGAACTTGGAAATAGTATTCCTACCACTCAAACAAGGTGGGGATCTGCAGGCACAGAGCACAGTCCCAGGACATCTTCTCTAAGAGAGAACAGTCTACAGTGGTACCTAACAGCACCTACTCACAGGTCACAGATGCCAGCTCTCGCAGGAATGAGATGCACAAGCTCCAGCAAAAGCTTCACTCCCTTTTGCCACTCTTCCTCTCTTTCAAATTCACAGTACAGGTAGCTGCATTCATCCGAAGAAAACTGGTAGAAAACATAATTATCTTGGAAGTATAGATGTTGGTCCACTGTTCGAAGCAAACAAACAAACAAAAAACGTTGTGGTTTAGAGTCACATAAATCACATAATAAACTGAAAAGTCCAATGATTAAGGAGAAACCATAGACAAGACTGTACTCTTACATCTGAACTTTATTCATGCTTAAATGCTCCATCAAAATGAAAGGATGCACTGGCTGGTCAATCTCACTGGTTGGACTTTGATATATTTCACATATATACTAGGTTTTCTGCTTCACAGACAAGTGATGGTCAAATCAATATCGCTTCAAAGAGGGTGGCAGGCAATGCTCACAAACACAGCATGATAGCAAGTTTTAGTTAGCAAGATTAGTGGCTATCAACCGGGGGTGATTTTGGTCCTAGAGACACTTTTGGTAGTCATAATAAAAGGATGTGCTACTGGCATTGAGAAGGAAAAAGAACAGTTATTGCCAAAGTATATGTACAGGACAGTCCCCCCAACAACAAAGAATTGTCTAACTCAAAATGTCCATACTGTCAATGTTGGGAAATCCTGTTCTAAAAGAATAAAAAACTAGAGATGCTTTCAAAAGGCATTTACACAAAATGTGTGGCTAACCATAAACCCAATACTAGCCAGTGGGCCAATAAAAGCTCTCCTCAAAAATGGTTAATCGACTTCCTAAATAAGAGTATTAGGTGCTAGGTATTAGTAACTAAGATGATTATAAACAAATCCCCCCTATATCAATCTTTCACAACAATATCAGGAATTGACTTCAATATTTATCATCTATGGAAACCAGCGCTTCTGAGTACCAGCTAGAACCTGAGATACCGAGATAAACAAACCCAGACAGTTTCGTTTCTGCTCCTTCAATTCCCTGAGTTCAACTGAGAAGAGAGAGATCCTCATCTATCTTACCACCTACTTAAACATCATTTTCTGGCCCATTTGAACAGCTAATATTCACAGCTCACATATCTACATGTTCACGATTGTTTAATTAAGATGGCGTACACATACCACTCGTAAATCAGTTCCTGATGATTACATACATCATGATAAATCATTCATTTGAAGCTACAAAAGATATCAATGGCAAAAAAGTTTGTGAGCTGCCCCAGTGTAGGGAAATGCCAGGGAGGGAAGATGGGGGTGGGTGGGTCAGGGAGCACCCTCACAGAGGCAGGGGAAGGGAGATGGGATAGGGGGTTCCCAAAGGAGAGACTTGGAAAGGGGAAACCAATTGAAATGTAAATTTAAAAATATCCAAAAAAAAAGTCTATGAGCAAAGTAGATAGGGAGGGGGGCAGAGACTTTTACCGGTGTAAGTCTGTGATCAACAAGTACCTAATCATTTCCACAGAAGGTGTGGGCAAAGTAAATGAATCAAAAATGATCTGCCATTCTTACTTAGAAAATAATTGTGTAAAAATCTGCCTTCAAAAACAATTTCCACCCAGATTCTGACATCCTCCGGCATGTCAAGTATGGTCTGGTCTAACAGTTTAACAATACAGTAGCTGTGTCTTCAAAGTAAGGAACACTAACCTGATGACATAATCCCCATATCCAGTAGGAGCTGCCAGACCCCAATGGCCATAGATCTACACTGGACAAAAGGACAGTGTTCCAGGAGCCAATCAACCAGCTCTGACCCCACGCAGCTTCTCCTGGAACAAAGCAAAGCCACAAGCAATGAGAAATTTCAAAAACACATTAATGTTTGACATCATTCTTTTCATGAGCTCTCTTTCTGAAGTAAGCAAGCCAAGAAAAAAAAATGGCTTTGCCTCTTCCTCATCTTCAGGTTAATGCTAATATGATAAAAATTCAGATATATGATTCTTTTAAATGAGAAGGTAGGTGGCAAAAGAACCGGCAATTAGACCAAACAGTCAATACGAACTTCTAATTCTATAGGACACCTTTCATGTTAAGGATCACAGTGTTAATTAACTAATTTCTCAGTGCTTCTTGCAATTAGCCAGCATCTTTGGGCTTTGAAAGCACTTTAGTTCATGGATTAAAGACTGTCATTTAGTTTTCACATTCTCAAAACACTGAGGCTCTGCAGCCTTTTCTGCATGTCTGATATCACCTGGAACACAGAAGTGTGCATACATTTGCTCAACAAACCAAACCTCCACATTGCACCAGGTAGCTTAGATAGTAGTAGCCATGCCTGTCTGAGCACAGGTGGTCATGAGGAAGTCCCCTAGTCCGAGTCTTTCAATAGCACTGTGGTTTCAATAGCGGTTTCAGGGACCAAGAACAAGGATGCGGTCAGGTGTAGCTTTTGATACACCAAAGCTACCTGGAAACTTAGATACCCACCCCATCAAACCCCTTAGGTGTTGCTGGTGACCACAAAGCCCAGACCCTTCTAACTTTCCTTTCTCATTAGGAAGGATTTACTCTATTTGAGATACAGGCTTGAAACAAATATGCTAAAGCACAGAATTGCTATGACAACCTTAACAGAAAACTGGGTACCATTCCCCAACACGTTATTGATTTCATTGTATCTGGTTCCTTTCTGCCCCTCACTAAACCTCATCATTATATTTTAAATTGCTCTTACCATCCATCCGACCAGGAAAACCATTAGGGACAAAGAGAAACTCTGTCCTTAATATCTCTAAAGCAAATAAAATGAGATGAGCTGCTATGCATTTAATTTCTAATCCCCTGACTTGTTGACCAGATCTACAACAATTCAGTTAAAAGCCTAAATCTACAGGGCAGAGATGGGTGGAAAGGATAAAAGCTGAAGTTATTGGAGCATCACGATCTAAATACTGCCAGCAGCTCTTAGCCATGTATTTTAAGTCTTACACTCCATCCAGAAGCTTTGGTGGTATATGCAGATCTAACCAGAGCCGTGATGCCAGGTGGTAGCTCTCTCATACAGAGATGTGAGCTACAGATCCATGTGGTCCTGAGTCCATATGGAGGTCATGAGCTACAAACCCATGTGAACCCATGGACAGCTGCATTTTACTCATCTCTGGGATGGAATTTTTGGTTATTCTCAACCTCTTCCTCTCTTCCCATAAACACAGACACTAAACTTTAAAACATAAACGGTGTAGTGGGGATGCTCAGTGATTCGTGTATCTAAAAGGAAATAAGGTCTCGGGAACTAACATGCGCTTCCTATAGTACAAATTGAATAGAAACTTTTCAAAGCTTTTATTGTGGATTTTCAGCTAGCATATGGGAACACGTCACCTGCATTTACTACCAGACAAATTTAAGTGATCCATCCTAAACAACCATATTTGTAACTTATTTTAATCCTAGAACATTAATCAGTCCTTGGACTATAATGGAGAAGACAAACAAATACACTCCCTCCTAACTCTGCTCCTATAAAAACCTAAATACGCTCTAAATTGGGTAGCTCATTTTTCCATGGACCTGATTAGATCTCCATTTCAATTATTGCCCACAGAGATTGCAAACAAATTAAAACAAACAAACAAACACTCTAAGAACAAAGCTAGACTTTAGCGTAGCCTTCTGTAACTAACATGGATTCTCTGAGCTTGCTTACAACTATACATGAAGACTTACATACACAATGCTAATTTTAAAGAGTCAGATGTCACCGGACACAGTGTTGTTTCCTTTTGTTTTTAGTTTCAAGCTCTGCATGTCTGTATGCGGAGGTTTGAATGCAAAATGTCCCCTGTAGGCTCATGTATTTGAACACTTGGTCCCTGGAATGGTACTGTTTATAAGGTGACAGATATTGCTGACCACTGGTTCTCAATCTTCCTAATGCTATGGCCCTTTAATATATAGTCCCTCACATTGTGGTGACCCCCCCCAACTGTAAGATTATTTTGTTGCTGCTTCATAACTATAATTTGCTACTGATATGAATTGTAACGTAAATATCTGGTATGCAGACCCTGCTTTAGAAGGTGCAGCCTTGTTAGAGGAGGCACATCGCTGAGTCTGAGCTTGAAGACTGCATCCTCGAGCCTTACTTCCAGTTCGCTCTCTCTGATTCATCCTTGTGGTTAAGATGTCATCTCTCAGCTTCCTGTTCATTCACCTGCTGCTATCCATCTCCTGACATGATGGGTACCATAAGCCAAAATGGACTCTTCCTGAAGTTGGCTGTTAGACTACTGAGCTCACAGCAGCTGTGATTATATACTCAAGTTCTTAACTCCTGGTGATGAAGAGGGCAGGGTTCATAGGACCCTAAACCTTCCTGGGTGTTTATAATCTGCTAAAAGTTGTTAAGAAAAGGACAGTCATTTCTTTCAGTGTCATAAGGAACTGGTAAGGTACCAATGCGCCTGAAAACAAAATCCCAGCTACACTCATGTAACCTTGCCACCCCCTCCCTGACAAAAAGACATGACAATAGAAGAGAGGCTAGTGGGAAACAGGAAGGGGGCAACATGAGTGGGACTATAAGGAGATAGCGGCAGAGGTGGAGATAATTATGACTTAAACTCACTGTGTACAAGTATGAATCCCATTATTATGTATAAATGATCTATGCTAATAAAACGTTAAAACATTTTATTTGCAGAAAACAGTTACTGTTAAAGGCATGAAGGAACTTTCTAGAACATAAGCCCCCTTTGTATCTTAACAATAGTTACACAGGCAATGACTGCATAAGTATATAGTAAATAAAACTTTATTAGGCTATACTTGTGCATTTTTTGTGTATAAATTGTACCTCAGACAAGAGCCTTCTTACCCTCCAAATATCTGGGAACCACTACTCCCAGGATCCAGGCCATCATGAAATGTTTCTAATGTAAACATTTGTTTCCTGTGGCCAATGAAAACAACAGGAATAGTAAACTGATTTTTTTTTTACAAGTTAAATTTCTATAACTTAAAGGAACATCCATTATTGGTAGAATATGTCCTCCTTTTCATGATATCTGAGTTCTGTCCCAATTTTGTTATTTCAATGTTGTCTCCTTAAGAAAAGCAACAATAAATAATATCTCCTTTCTTCTTGGTTTTATTTTTATAATTTTCTTTTGGTATCATTCAGTGTTAGTCTACCTTCCTTTGTTTTGTCTTGCTTTAATAATCCACAAGAGTGAAACACATGCTTCCAATGACCTCACAGCTGGTCCAGCCATTTATTAAGACTGGCCATAAACTATTTGTTTCTCCAATACAGCTCTGCCTTTATTTTTACTGGCTCGGGAAGTCAGATTGCCTACTCTCATTTCACAGTGCAGTGTGGGATGCAGCGCCTTCTTACCTGGAGGATTTGAACAGTTCTCTCTGCCTATGAACCTTTCCAGCAACTTGACAATATCTCTAATGTGGAGAGACCTATATTTCTTGAAGTCCCCAGTGTAGCATGCACCCATCTCTCAGGAGAATGAGAGAAAGGGGTAAGGGGTAGAGAGATCATGTAGCTAGGAGTTTCAGATTCTTTTAGACCCAGAAGCCTAAGCATGACCATAATCAAGCACCCTTAGAATCCTCAGCAAAGAGAACACATCTGTCCCTCTGATTGCTAATACCGAGACAGCCTGCTACTCTATGCTCAAGGTTACAATTGTAACACAGGCTGGTTTTTGACAAGGTGTTAAGAAATTGTGTTACCTGTAAAACCCCTTGAGATTCACTCTGTCCTTTACCAGGTCAGCTGCTTGAACGATAATAATATTCCTTAATGCTCTTCCTGCACAAGAAGAATTCTCTCCATAAATCTAAGAGAAAAGACAAACAATCACCGTGAATGTAGACCAATAATGTGACAGTCTGTGAACTCCCAATAGCATGCTATATATAAGTATCATGACCAATTCCCTGAGCTTCAGACACATTTTAGCCTATGAAGCTACTGGCCTATAATTACCTTACTTTATTTTAGCTGATGGTCTACTTAGGCTATTAGACTATAATAGCTTTTCCAAATGTAAAGTACTCTTCTTAACTATAATCATAATATTCTTTTAAAACACAAAGATTTCTGTGTAAAATATCCATTATCTTAAATATAGTGTTCCAATCACTACAGGAAACTGAAGAATTGTGTGATCCATTTATATTAATCACAAACAAATCTACCAGTCTGGCCATATTGGTAATTCATGCATATAAAAGATACTTCCACACTTAGTGAATAACTTAAAGATGGTGCAATGTCACAGCAAGCTACTTTGCCCTGAAGCTTCATGTAACCTCAGAGTTCACAGCTAATTCCAAATGTTCTGATTTGATCTACAGTACTTCACAATTCCATCTTTCAGAAAGAGATTTCATTTAACTTTTTTCCTTAATCTTCTCATCCCTCCACTGTCATCTTTGGTCCCTGAAGATGAATGTAAGAACCTCTAGTGAGGTCTAAGCCCTATTTTAAAATAACTCCCTTTCTCCAATTGCACCATCCTCTATAGCACAAGGCTATTTCACCAACCAAGGAGGTGAAATGCAATGAGCAAAAGGTAAATACTCATGGATTTGTTGTATGTTGCTAAATGCTTATAGCTTTCCATTTGTTCTCTTTTTGCATACTGTGAAATGTATTTATTTTACATGTATGAGTACTTTTGACTGAATGTATTTACATATATATGTGTGTCATATGGTGCCTCTGAAACTCAGAAGGTACTAGATTCCCTGTAACTGAAGTTACAGATGGTTGTGAGAGACTGTGTGGATGCCGGGAATCGAACCTGTGTCTTTTGGAAGAGTAGCCAATGCTCTTAACTGCTGAGCCACCTCTTGGCCCCATTTGTTTCTTGTTTAATTCCTTTTTCTTTTTTTTCTGGCTGTGCTGGGTTTGATCTCAGAGCCTTGTGCACACAATGCAAATATTCTGCAACTGCATTATACCTCTGCCCCTCTTAGTAAACGATTTCTTCATCTAGAAATATTTTATACTGTCTCTTAAAGCAATCAAATTGATAATATATTTGTTATGACTTGATAGGAAATAAATGCTCATACTTAATTCTCCCAATATCATCACATGAACACAATTTGATGAGAAAGTGAAAATAGCCGGAAATGATGCCTTGTTAGCAAGTTTTTAAAAATCAAGTCTTGAGTAGCAGACATGACAGAAAGTTACTGAGGCAGAGGCATGAGTCAGCTGATGCTTAACTTGTCCTGACACCTACAAGGTTCACTCAATAAGTATAAAGCATTTAATAAGCAGCTGACAAATACAGATTCTATTCCAGGTGCATAACATAGTGCAGAAAAAGGCAGACAATTTCCATCTCCTGTTCTGAAGAATGGGGACGTATGTCTGTAATTCTTTAATACAACACAGTAAACACAAATTCATCTCATCAGTGAACTAACTCATAACGGACAATGTCCTTAGACTTAACTATGCATGCCTCTAGTGTTTATTATATACAATGTACACTACTTATAAACTCTTGTGTTACCATCAATACAAAAAGTAAAGGATACACATTTACTGTTACCTTGATATTACAAGGCATGTGGAAAATAGTTACTTCTTATCTCCTGAGTATCATGAATCATGGCAATGATCAGGGAATTTCAACTTCTTCAGTGGTCTTCCCTGAGGGGTTGATGCTGTGATGAGTGCATTATCTCTGCCAAACTCCAGGTTAGGGCATCTCTAACACAAGCATTCTCCAATAACATTTGTGAACCACCATTACAGAAAGTATAGAAGGGTAGAGAAACTAATTTCATACCTGAGAAGGACTATGTTCAAGGTATGGATTGGAAATTCTTCTTGAAAGAGTCTATTTTAAAAGAAAAGGAAAAGGAAGAGAAATTAAACTCAAACAGATACTGTGAACCTAATAATAATTAACAAAATAAAACAAAGCACATGCAAGTGTCAGGCCTAGCAAGTATCCACACTAAAGATGAGTTTAATAAACTTCCAGTGTCTTCTAAGATCATCTGGTTAACCTTTACACCAATCAGGCAGGACATTCTGCTTGACTAGCTCCTGCCCCAGAGAGGTCATCAGCTGCAGTGATGGAGACAGCTGTGTCTTCAGAACCCTCCCTTCACTCCTGATGAGGCTGGGATTCATTTCTCTTGATCCACCCCCATTCAAGCCTCGTTGGCTTCTACCTCAGATGCTACTCCAGCCTCTCAGTGGATCTTCCTGCCCTTCAGTTTCCCCCTCTGAACCATCCTACAACCTTCAACAGACAAATCTCCCCAAACCATGTCCTTCCACTTAAAGTGAGTCACTGGTAGCTTACAGGAGCTATCTCAAGACCCTCAGTTCCACAGTCTACCTCTTACAAAGTCTTGTGTTCTCTCTCTTCAGTACAACAGGAATTTCCTCACTGGGAAATTAAGTGCCCCTGGGTCTTCAAGAGGATATTATAGGTTATGCTCACAAAGTAATGTACACATACATGAAACTGACAAAAATAAAGAATTTGGAAGAGCTAAGTGTCAGAATGTTAGAGAGGGATCAGTCCACAGAGTCCTTGTCTTGCAAGCATGTGGGCCTGAGTTTGATCCCCATGACCCATGTTGGTTTTTAAAGTGGGTATGGTAGCATACAGTTGTAGTCTCAACTATGTAGGTAAAGGCAGGTGGATCCTTGAGACGCACTGAAAAGCCAGTTTAGCTTGAAAGCTGGAGGCCAGTGAGAGACCATATCTCAAAATTAAAAGTGGTTAGCCCCTGAGAATGATGCCAAGGCTGCCTTCTGATCTCCACGTACATATGCACACATATGCATATGGACACACAAAAGTATATCCACCCATGAACATACACACACACATACATCAGAGCAACCTGCCACTCACATACCTATTCATACCATTTTCTGTTCAAATCTACTCTCTTCCACAATGGACCCACAGGACCTCAAAGCCCAGGTTTGCACTCCTCTCACATTAACTGCTAACCAAGCCTGACTTTGCTTAGCTTCTAAGATCAGATGAGGTCCTATGTGTTCAGAGTAATAAGGTGGTATACCAGATGGTTATTTCCCAAGTGAAGCCCCGCCAATGGGAATGGGGGTTGATACTCTTTGAAGATTTTTGTTTAGCTGCTGCTCATGCTACAGAACTTGGGGTACACTGCATGCCAGCACATCGGGGACCCCTGCTGGCACTTTGTGGCACTTTGGTCTGATGGCATGATGTTACATAAAGATGTTTATTTTTCCATTCATTTATTTAGCTCTTTGTAGATCAACTAAGTATTTGCTGTATGGTTTGAATTGCAGGAGCTAATTTTCCGTACCTAACAATCTAGGAAGCAGCAACATCCCCCACAGATGCTTAGGCACAATGGAAGATGATTAGCACATTCTACTGCGGTTCAAGGGGAACAGAGAAACTAACATTTAGTGAGCTCCCAACCCATGTTTAAAAGCGCTTTACACCTGGACTCTAAGAATTGATGCTTTAGAGAGCCCAGTTTTTAGCCTGCCGCCTCCATTTCTTAAAATAACCTGCGGTATTTACCAAACATACCCTGCCAAGGACTGCTGTGTGGTACATGAACCTTGTACCAAATTTTAACCTAAAAAGAAATTCTTGTTCCGACTCTTTTGTATTTTAGACAGCCCCCACACTAATTATCTTTTGATTAAACAAATATAAGCATTGACTCTTTATCCAGAAACGATAATAAACTTTGTTAAAGATCTGCAAGTTGCTTGAAAAAAGAAAATATTAAAAGCTAACCTATTTTTTTGATGCCTACCATACTGGCCTTGTCTTTGCATAGTTCCCATGAACTCTCTCAGATCTCTGTTATCTGAGCCTATACGGAATCTTCAACTATTGAAATATCAAATAATTTTAAACTTACATATACACCAGATTTTTCCTGTGAAGATGGGTTGTCATGGTAAGTTACTTTTTATATCCTGAACAAGAACTTAACAACAACAATAACAAATAACATTGTGGCAGACTAAATCTGACAATCTTCATGTATTCATTGAATTGTTTCAACCAGTTAAAACAAACAAACAAACAAAACCAACTTCTTCACACGAAAGCTTTCCTTAGGTTAAAAAAGAAATAGTTCTAAAAAACTGGACAGGAATATTTTCACAAAGGAAACAAACGACTTTTGCATTTCTCTCCACTGCCATCCTAAACCAGGCAGCCTCCAAGATTACAGTCACACAATCCAGCTAAATAGAACCACTCCACTATGGCCCCTTTCTAAAGACAAGTAAGGGAGGCAGGGAAAGTGACGGGACTCCTCAATGCTGTAAAGAGAAGGGTGTTAGACAAGCTGCCAGTCCCTGGGGAATGACAAGAGACATAATAAGACCTTCTCTTTCACAGAACACAATCCTATTGTCAGAACCTCCTGTGAAGCCTCTTAACTAGGCCCAGGGGAGTTTTCTTTCATTAACACTTAGGATAGCAGCTCACCGAGCTAGGGGAAGCCACAGAGCTCTCTGTGGATCTCACTGAAGTACTGACTCTTAAACATAAAATGACTTTTCTAAACTCTCCTGTAGAGACTACTTCATGTTAGGGATCAGTGTTGATCAGAAGTAACAAGTTACAAAGGCAAAGTAAAGAGAACATAGGGATTATTACCCCGCACCACCTTGTGTTTAACAGGTCTAGGAGAGACCTGCTTCTTCACTGTATGAGAGAACCACCATACAGTTAGTCTCCAAAGGGCAGCTCAGCATCTACAAGAGCACCCTTGAGAAGGATGCTCCCTCCATTTTAACATTTTGTCCCTGGTCTATAACCTAGTTGTTTTCATCTACCCTATAATGCCCTGGTTTGACTACTTCACCCAGTGTTTGGGACTGCGTCTCCTCACCTACAGCCCCTTTCCCTCTACTTATTTCACATTACAGAGCACCTATGCTCCTTCTGAGACACTGAGAAAACTAGAAACAAGAAAACAAAGACCCTTCCCTGATTTACACAACCCCTTTCCCAGAAGACACAAGCTATAAACTTTAAACATGTGGTGAATTCTCCCTCTTGGTCCTAATTTTCCCATCAGTTTGCTGTATCACCTTGGGTGGCCAATCTATCAATGCTAGATGTCTTCTCATGTGGGTTTGGGGTAGAGGTTGTGACACGGTTAGCCTATGGAAGCCTCAGACTCATGATTCTGCTGCCTTGGCCTCCAAATGCTAGGATTATAGGAGTGTACCACCCAAGTGTCCTCTCTTTGAAAGGCTCCCCCATTATTATCTCATGAACACAGAAAACAGAAAGGGTTATAGTTCCTTCCCCTGCTTCTTCCCAACTGCCAGGAATTACTTACTGTGGGTGCACTGATTCAGAAAGACATATGCATCCACAGATCGACTAATAACATGAATGAAAAATGCACTTTAATCCAAAAATTTCTCCTCCTCTCTTTTTTAATGAACCATGTTCATTAAATGAACCCAGAGAGATCTAATATTTTAAACATGAGTTAGAGACCTGCAGTCCTTTATTGTACACAAAAGGACACCAAGAAAAGGAGAGATGTTATAACTCAAGAAGACAACTGTCTGTCAGCCGTCTGTTACTCATTTCCTTTTAGGTGGGTGTCCACGAGAATTAAGTTATAATTGTCTAAGAGCCAAGCCTGAGACTCACTGCAGTTGATAAAAATATCTTAGTCGAGATGTAGATCTCATCTCTCCTCATCTCTTGCAGGAGATGTCTCGACACTATCCTCAGATTCTGTTTAGGTTGCCAAGGAAAGAAGTTTCCTAAGGAGGAAAACTCGAATTCTTCAAATACCATGGAAGTACAACCTGCCCTGTCGCTACAGTGAACCAAAGGGAAGACTGACTGATGACATAGCCACTGACTAGTTCCTCATTTGGAGCAACCAAGCAGAAAGTGAAAAATGGAACCATGGAATAAACACACGTGAACATCTCACCAAGCTAGGAACCCAGAAAGCTTCACAGTCAACTAGTGGATGCATAAAAGAACTCATAGACAAAAACAATAAAGCATGCCACTTTCTGGCACCTTCTATGACTGTGAGTCCTTCTTATGACCAAGGATAAATGGGTTTATCAACCAACTCCTGGTCAAGATCTAAAGGAGAGAATCCCACCATCTGTAGATTTGCAGATTACATAATCATAGAAACGTCGGTACAATGAGAACAGCTCACAGGGGCAGGTTGCTAAAGTAGGCAGGGAGTAACTGCTCCTTCTGCTCCTTCTAGCTGCAGCTAGGGCCCACACTACACCCTGGGGCTCCTAGGCATATGCCCGACACAACAGCTAGTCACCCTCAAAACAGGTCACTTCTGATAACATCTTCTCAAACAGTGCCACCACACCTATGTCAATGACATTCTCAAAATTAATTTTTTCCATTGCCCTGTCATGTGTTAGGAAAGGAGGGCTGATAAGAAGCCTCAATAGGTAAAGTACTTGCCACATGGAGATTAAAATAAGAACCAATTCAAAGCTGCCCGACACAGACATGGGGGTGGAGAGGAGAGGGGGGAGGGGAGAGACAGAGAGACAGAAAATTGAAAGGGCTGGGAGCTGGCTCAGTTGGTAAAGCTTTGCAATACAAGCACAAGGAACTGAGTCTGGCTCCAGCACCCATGTAATCAAGCTGGGCATGGTGGTGCAAGCCTGTAATCATAGCATTGGGGAAGCAGAGACAAGCAGGTCCTAGGGGCTGGCTGGCTGGTGGGCTAGCCTAGCCTAATCAGAGCACTTCCACTCTCGATTAGAGATCTGATAAAAGGTGGATGACTCCTGAAGAATGATACCCAAGGGTCCTCTCTGGCCTCCTGGTGTGCACTAGTAACACCATGCACAATGCACATGCATCTGTACACACACACACACACACACACACACAGTTCCCTCTTAGCCTCAAGCACCTCTTTATATTGGCATCCCTCATTCCTATTTGTGCGAGTAAGAGGACTGAGAGTCAGAGAATGAAGTGTTTTCCTACAAATCCCAGAGAAATAAAGTGTTAGCCACAGCAGAGACCAAAGCCAACCTCATCTCTCATGTCTGAGGAAAAGTAACAAAGTGTCTGCTACAGGCCAATATTTTACAAACGTCAAGTAACAATCTTTGAAAAACTCTGTGGTAAGTAGTATCAATTCTGTTCTGTAGATGACAAAATCAGACTAAAAAGAAGTTAAGAAACCCCCACATTTGCAACCCAAATCCATCTTTAGTGGCTACTCCATATATATATATATATATATATATATATATATATATATACACACATTTTAACATACAATATGTCGATTTAAGTAATGTGGCAGATTCATATCCTAATGATTCTTCTAGAGATGTAAACACATCTCAGTGAGTGTACCAAAAGACAGGAAAAAAAAAAAAAATGGTTCCACCCAAGTCCATCTTTGGGGCTGCTTACAGTAGTGTGGGCAGCTTACTGGCAACTTCACACCAGACTCTCCTCCACTACAGCTGCTAACTACTTAAATAGCCTCAGGGAGAGCCACAAGAAGTCCACTAAGGAGTTGAGAGAAGAGAAAGTAGAGCATTTGCATGCAGGTCCTGGGCTCACTCTCCAGCACTGTGTGTGTATGGAGGAGGGGTGGGTGTGCAACTAAAACCTGCTAGATCTGGTGGTTTCCAGGCCTGGATGGCATAGAAGTTCTTGGGGGAAATTAAGGAGAAAATACCATAGTCCCATGCCAAGCATACTGAATTAGAATCTCAAGATCTGAGTTGTTTTCCCCCAATCCCCAGTTAGTTCTAATGTCTAGTCAGGTTTGAATTAAACTGTAAAAAAATGAGTGAGTTCATGCTAGAGAGACAGCTCAATGGTTCAAAGCATTTACTGCTCTTCCAGAGAATACCAGTTTAGTTCCCAGTACTCAGCTGTAACTCCAACTCCAGGGGCTCTGACGCCCTCTTCTGGATGCAACAAGAGCCTGCAATTGCATGCACACATTCCCATACACATAATTTAAGATAATAAAATAAAATAAAATAAAATAAAACAAAATAAAATAAAATGTGACTTCACGACTATTTGAAACTTTGCCTCCATCAGACATCCTGCTGAAGAAAGGAGGCAAGCCACTTCGCCAACAGCACTGAGATCTGAACATAGCTTCACAACAGCTAGTTATCAGGAGCACCTGCTCACATGGTATGTGCTTTCTGTAAACTAGACACAGCCCCAGGCAGTCTCCTCATGTCTGCAGAGAGCTGTACCCTCTTAATGGCATAAGCTTCATTTTGACCTCCCATTACCAAAGGGCTCCCTTCGAGTACAAACATGTTTCCCCACGTAAACTCTAAAGCTGAAAAGTGAAATGAGTCTTAGTAAGGATTACAAGTAGTTCACAATCTTGTCTGCCTAAGATAATCATCGAAGACTGCATTAGATACAAGAGACAAACCCCAAAGCTTTAGCGGTTTAAATTTATTCGGTCCTTGGGGAAAAAAATACCTTTATTTTTGGCTGTGTTTACAAACAAGAGAATAGTTGTGCCCTCCAGGCTATGCTTCCCTAGTTCATGTGATCACAGAAAACCAAAATTTAAAGAACAAGTAGGAAAAAGTTACGGAGAAGTTTAAGCAAGCTTACCCCATCTGTCACTGGATTCTCTACCCTTACATAAGCACATGTGGTCACACCAGCGCAGACCCTGTCGACAGCAGCCAGCATGACTGAGCTTCATAAATTGCTCAAATGCAGAGCCCTTGGAGCAGCAGAATGAATTGTGGAAATGCCAAACTGTAAGTTACATCCAGGAATCTACAGTGACGCCAATAAAAGATAATCCAATAATCAAGCGAGTATGGGTAGACAGGACACACCTTCCTCCCAGAACAATTCCAATGGCTGAATGTAATCATAGAAGCCAGAAAAAGTGGTCCTGAGTCAAATTCCACGGTGGCCGAGCTCCAGCCAATACCTATGAGTGAATGCTAACGTGAGTGGAAACTGTAATAGACACAGGATCCACGCCATCATAGACAAACATCTCCCCATGAGACAATAAGCATGTGGGGAAACAGTTTGCAGTGGATCTTGGGAGATGCACCTTAACCACGTGATAAAAATCCATAACAGATCAGGTGACAAGATGATATCATCTATGAATGGAGAAAACCGAGTTTTACAGTATTTCTATCAAAATACATATCTGGATTTTATGAGATGCTATCAGATAATTTCAAGTTGAAGGGTGTTCTTTAAGATATCTGGTCTGCACTCTGATAAAAATATCGGGTTTATGAAGAGCCAAAAGAAATTAGCGAACACTAGAGAAGACTAAATTGAATGGCCCAAGCTGGCCTCAAACTCTTCATCCTTTTCAGCCTTCCAAGTGCTGGGATTACAGCCCTGTACCACCACACTCACCATGAAATCCCAAAACACTTGAATTATTTTAAACTGCAGTTATTATTCTCCTTCTTCCCTACAAATACAGTCTCAAGAAAACATTCAGATAGTATTTCCAAATTCAGCACTTATTTCTTTGCTAAAAGCTACACTTCCTTTACCATGGCTTGGCAAGTCCTAACACCTGAACATATCCATTCCTTGGCTTTCCTGCCCACGTGGGCCTCTGGCACCTTCAAATACATTTTTCAGCTTACCCCTGTCCCTGTCTGAGTGCTCCTGACAGTCCATACACTCCTTATCTGACTACACCAGGTCTTCTTATGGTCTTACATTCACTACCCCTTTTTGATTAAAAAAAAAAAAATTGTAATGTAACCCCAACATGTACTGACAATAAATAAGACATTTATTTTTATAAGAGTTCTTTAGTATCTACATAATTTTATCATTTATTTAAAAAGAGAGATAATTACCATACTAATGAGATAGCTGTAGCAGCTGCTCATTTTTACACAAAGAATTAGGGGCTGGAGAGATGGCTCAGTGGCTAAGAGCATTTGCTGCTATTCCAAAGGACCTGATTCTGTTCCCAGCACCCACATTGGACAGCTCACAACCCACCTGTACCTCTAGCTCCAGGGGATTTAATACCTTCTTCTGCCCTCCATGGGGACCTATAGATATTTGCCATGCACGCGCACACACACACATACACACGACTTTTTTTTTTAAAGAATGAAATATTTGGCTAAGTATTTGATGTTGCATATCTTCATTCAATCCATCTTAACTGATAGATAGGCTGATTTTATAATTGTCATTGCTGAGTGCACCATTTTTTCATAAATACATCCTTTAAAGTGGCAGGAGTGTGTTTAGGATCACTTCAGAAATTGTTGGAAATTCCACGCTCATCCAAGCCAGACTCCTGGAACAACATTTTACGGAACTCAAGTCAGCAACCCAGACGGCCATTTTTAAAAGCCAAACATTCTAACGAATTACAGTTCACACATAAGTAGATCCATGCTGAGGAATGGAGGTTGGAAAACGTTGGGTTCTTGTCTTTCATAACTGGATTATTGTGTTTCTGTAAGAACAGTAAATTTTATAGGTACAGTAGTCAAAACATACAATAGTCTTGAATCTGAGTCCAGACATTCAGTGTTTGTCGGTGTGCATGAAGGGATGCTGTGTGCAGTGCAAGATGCTCATTCTGTGTGTTCAAAACCAAGATGCACAGACAGGTGCTGCAAACACTCTGGATTCATTCCAAATTTGGTGTGCGCGTGCACAAGAGCACACCTCTCTGTGTGTGTGTGTGTGTGTGTGTGTGTGTGTGTGTGTGACTGTGGCAGAGTGATGACATTGAACACGTGTGCGCAGGGGGTCAACCTTTAAGGCTATGTCTCAGAAGTCATCCACTTTGTTATTTACAACACAGCCTCTTGCTGGAAGTTGGGGTTCATTGCTCAGGCTAGACTGGCAGCCCAGGAAGTCCAGGCATCCAACTGTCTTTGCTTCTCCAGTGTTTCGGATTGCAAGTGCTAGCCACCACGCCTGCCTTTTTTATTTGTGTGCCAGGAATCCAAGTCACGTTCTGAAGCTTGCATGAGTACTCGGCTGATGAAACCATCTCTCAGTGCCTCTTCACACATTTTATTTTGAACTAAATTTTGGTTGCTGCCCATTCAGAAACCTTTCGTAGTTGCCTGAGTCTTGGTCACCCCTTAGCCCTTTAGTTACCATGATCCCTTCGGGGTATCGCAACCTCAGTTTAAGAATCCCCAGACTGTGGCACAGGTTTGTAATACCAGCACTCATAGAAGTAGAGGAAGATCAGGAATTTGAGGCCAGTCACAGTTATGTAGTGAGTTCAAGGCCAGCTTGAAATACATGAGAACCTGTCTCAACCTGTCTCAAAAGCGCAACAAAACCAAGAGGAAGGGGTAGGGATGGTGGGGGGAAGGATTAAGTATATAAAAACGCTAGTGAATCTATATGAAGAAAACGGTGTCTCAAAAATCTACGCCTAGAACGAGTCATACATGTACTTAAATTTTCACACAGTTCACGTGACGATGGATTCATATATGCTTAAATCTCCCTTCTGAATTTCTTCCAAAGTACTCTGGACTTCAGACACTCATTTGCATTTGGAATTCCTCTTACTATGCAAATCTGAAAGACATGGGTCTCCCCCTTGCTCACACTTCTAAATGCCCTAGTGCCCACAGATGTACCATGTGTGGTTAGCTCATACTACATGCTTGTATAAGGGAATACTTCCCTTTGTTTGGTTGTTGTCTGTCCTTTGCTATACACACACCTTCTCAAAAGGCATCCATGCACAGTACTTAAAAACAAGAATGGAGCCCGGCACTCACAATGCTTACATTCAAAGTACAGCCGCAGCCCTAAGAAGTTGTATTCTAGACAAGTTATTATCTTCTTTGTTTTACTGGGTCTATCCCTTTAAGTGAGTAAAATAAAATCTACTTATTAGGCTGCTATAAGAAATAAATTACTTAAAGTAGTGATTTTCAACTTTCTTTATGTCCTAGAGAGTGGCATGAGATACCCTTGGGCTTCTATCCAGTTTTGTGTTTGGTGGGTTTAGGATAGAACCTGAGAATCTCAATTTCTCATAGTGGGCTGATGCTGGAGATCAGGAGACTATACCCTAAGAGCCACAGACTTTAAATTACACAGACAACTTAGTGCCTGGAAGATAACTGTGGGCTATTACTGGCCTTTACTGCCATCCCTGTGCAACACTCAGCAAGCTTTCCCACAGGAAAACACAGAAATGTAGACTCACATGAACTTCTCAAGGGACAGAAATCTTCTTTACCCACATCCCTAGGACACAGCAGAAGACTCCACATGGCAAGATGGAATCATCTGAGGGAAAACAAGATGGGGAGAGCGTCCCTCTCTTCACACCATCACTAAGACTTTCACATTAAGCATCCTTTAGACACGGCAATTTGTTCATGGGTCAGTCTCATTTCTCATACTCAGGTGTCTAGAACTAACACAGATGCATCTCACTGGCGTTGGGTGGTTGGAACTGAGGCCTTCTCCATGGGTGCGAATGTCTATGTGCTTTGTCACATGACATCACTGCTGTTTAAACACTAGGTACAGCTGATTTTATATAAACAAATGTTTTACCTGGATGTTGACATGAGGAAAATCCTGCCGTCTACTGAAACTTATTTCCCACTTATGCCAAGGTCTCTTCCTGGGTGGCCCAAGTCTTTTAATTACTGTTTTACTTTAGAATTCAAGAGCATCAGAGCCAGGCAAGGTAGTGTACACCTATAATCCCAACATGCAGGAGGCTGAGGCAAGAGAAACCATTAGTTCAAAGAAAACCCATACAGAGAGATTCTGTCTCAAAAGCCATTTTATACCCACAGAGACAACTAACAGAAGTATCAAATGTAAAGTCAGAAGTCTTCCATGTGCACTCTTGGGTTCTACCGTGACTCCATGTGAAACATCAAAAGTCAGTTTTCTGGCTCGCTGATGTCTGTTCTGTTTCTGCCAACTTTGGGCAAATCTAGTTTAAAGCAAAACATAATCATTCCCAGACACAGTGAGAGCAAACCACACCACCAGGTCTTTAACATTGACTATGAGGAGCAGAGATTCCTTCTTTTTTCTCCCTGGACACTGATAAAACTGTGAGCTGGCTTCTCCTTCGTTTACTTTGTAGCCCTTGATTAGCTAGCACTCGAGTCCTGCAGAGTTGTGAAACTTTCTTCTGGGTCACATCACACACACACAACACACACACACACACACCACACCTCTTGCATGCTCTTCCTCCAACACCTCCCTTTACAGCCATATCAGCCTCTGTCACTCCCTTCTGCGTTTCCAAGCACAAGTTGGAAAGTTCTCCGCATCTCCCACTGTATTTCCTTTTCACATTTCCAGGTACAGACCTGTCGTTTTTTCTTCATCTACTAAAATCGGATCCTACACTCACTCTCTGTGGAGATTCCTTCTTCACACCGTGAAAAGCCCCTGTAAGATAGAAGTGCCTTCAACAGACTTACCCACTGGCCATGTGTCCTACTATGGTTGAGTAGGTGACAGGGAGGTGCCGATGACAAAAGTCTTATTAAGGAAGTCCCACATAAAGCTAACCTGGGAAATGATCCAAACTCCACATTCAGGGTATGATACCTGATGAATGAATACTGCCTTTGTGCCAAATACAAGTGGAACTGTAGCAGATGAGGGTCTGTCTAAATATCCTTTCCTTTCCCTGACTCTTTGACACTAATTTAGGTACTACTTTC